GATTATTATATATTTTGTTCACTTGTAGTTTTTGATCACCTGACTTCACAATCGTGTGATTTATTATATATTTTGATCACCTGACTTCACAATCGTGTGATTTATTATATATTTTGATCACCTGACTTCACAATCGTGTGATTTATTATATATTTTGATCACCTGACTTCACAATCGTGTGATTTATCATATATTTTGTTCACCAGACTAAATAATGGCAATGGTGTGATTAATTATAGATTTTGATCAGCTGACTAAATAAAGGTGTGATTAATTATAGATTTTGATCAGCTGACTAAATAAAGGTGTGATTAATTATAGATTTTGATTAACTGACTAAATAAAGGTGTGATTAATTATAGATTTTGATCAACTGACTAAATAAAGGTGTGATTAATTATAGATTTTGATCAGCTGACTAAATAAAGGTGTGATTAATTATAGATTTTGATTAACTGACTAAATGAAGGTGTGATTAATTATAGATTTTGATTAACTGACTAAATAAAGGTGTGATTAATTATAGATTTTGATCAGCTGACTAAATAAAGGTGTGATTAATTATAGATTTTGATTAACTGACTAAATAAAGGTGTGATTAATTATAGATTTTGATCAACTGACTAAATAAAGGTGTAATTAATTATAGATTTTGATTAACTGACTAAATAAAGGTGTGATTAATTATAGATTTTGATCAGCTGACTAAATAAAGGTGTGATTAATTATAGATTTTGATCAGCTGACTAAATAAAGGTGTGATTAATTATAGATTTTGATCACCTGACTTCACAATCGTGTGATTAATTATAGATTTTGATTAACAGACTAAATACAGGTGTGATTAATTATAGATTTTGATCAGCTGACTAAATAAAGGTGTGATTAATTATAGATTTTGATCAGCTGACTAAATAAAGGTGTGATTAATTATAGATTTTGATCAGCTGACTAAATAAAGGTGTGATTAATTATAGGTTTTGATCAGCTGACTAAATAAAGGTGTGATTAATTATAGATTTTGATCAGCTGACTAAATAAAGGTGTGATTAATTATAGATTTTGATCACCAGACTAAACAAAGGTTGTGATTTATAGATTTTGATCACTTCACTTAACACTGGTGTGATTTATTGTAGTTTATGATCACCTGACTTCACAATCGTGTGATTTATTATATATTTTGATCACCTGACTTCACAATCGTGTGATTTATCATATATTTTGTTCACCAGACTAAATAATGGCAATGGTGTGATTAATTATAGATTTTGATCAACTGACTAAATAAAGGTGTGATTAATTATAGATTTTGATTAACTGACTAAATAAAGGTGTGATTAATTATAGATTTTGATTAACTGACTAAATAAAGGTGTGATTAATTATAGATTTTGATCAACTGACTAAATAAAGGTGTGATTAATTATAGATTTTGATCAACTGACTAAATAAAGGTGTGATTAATTATAGATTTTGATTAACTGACTAAATAAAGGTGTGATTAATTATAGATTTTGATTAACTGACTAAATAAAGGTGTGATTAATTATAGATTTTGATCAGTTGACTAAATAAAGGTGTGATTAATTATAGATTTTGATTAACTGACTAAATAACGGTGTGATTAATTATAGATTTTGATCAACTGACTAAATAAAGGTGTGATTAATTATAGATTTTGATCAGCTGACTAAATAAAGGTGTGATTAATTATAGATTTTGATCAGCTGACTAAATAAAGGTGTGATTAATTATAGATTTTGATTAACTGACTAAATAAAGGTGTGATTAATTATAGATTTTGATCAGCTGACTAAATAAAGGTGTGATTAATTATAGGTTTTGATCAGCTGACTAAATAAAGGTGTGATTAATTATAGATTTTGATCACCTGACTTCACAATCGTGTGATTAATTATAGATTTTGATCAGCTGACTAAATAAAGGTGTAATTAATTATATATTTTGATCACCAGACTAAACAAAGGTTGTGATTTATAGATTTTGATCACTTCACTTAACACTGGTGTGATTTATTGTAGTTTATGATCACCTGACTTCACAATCGTGTGATTTATTATATATTTTGATCACCTGACTTCACAATCGTGTGATTTATTATATATTTTGATCACCAGACTAAATAATGGCAATGGTGTGATTTATTATAGATTTTGATCACTGACTAAATAAAGGTGTGATTAATTATAGATTTTGATCAACTGACTAAATAAAGGTGTGATTAATTATAGATTTTGATTAACTGACTAAATAAAGGTGTGATTAATTATAGATTTTGATCAGCTGACTAAATAAAGGTGTGATTAATTATAGATTTTGATCAACTGACTAAATAAAGGTGTGATTAATTATAGATTCTGATTAACTGACTAAATAAAGGTGTGATTAATTATAGATTTTGATCAGCTGACTAAATAAAGGTGTGATTAATTATAGATTTTGATTAACTGACTAAATAAAGGTGTGATTAATTATAGATTTTGATCGACAGACTAAATAAAGGTGTGATTTATTGCAGATTTTGGCTACCAGACTAAACAAAGGCTTTGATTTATTATAGATTTTGATCACCAGACTAAATAAAGGTTGTAATTGATTAGATTTCGGTCCCCTGATTAAACATTGGCAATGGCTTTTTACAGATTTGGTCAGCAACGTAAAGGCGATGATTGCTTTGAAAAAAAACCACAAGAACTATGAACTAACACTGAACATAGTAAAACGATTTTAACATTTTACATTTTTTAACAATTTAAAATTCAAATATTCAGACTAAACATGGATAGTGACTTAGTAACCATGTTTTAGTTTCCTAACTGAAATATTATGTGTGCACGATATCATCTATGTACATGTTGCATGATCACAGTTATCGGTCAATTTCTTACAAGAAATCAAAATATACAAATAAAAAAAAATTGAGAATAATTTGAAATCTGAACTAGTCCTAATCCACGCTGTGCTATAACTTTAAATTTGATATAGCCTTTATCCGAATTGAGGTATGAATTCAATCCAATATCATTTTTATTCAATCAAATGGTGATGTAAATTAAACAAAAGTAATTCAGTATCGCAAATCATCACATTTTAAAATACAGATTTATTTTTTTCATATTAAAAAATGACTTACCATATCAGGCGAAGGCTTTCATCATGCTTGGCAGAACAGGAATTTCCTACAATTTCTATCTACAGAACATGGTGTTCTAGGTATAAGATAACCCATCGAACATGTCACTTTAATTCTCATTATCACTTTTCTTAGTATTGTTCACTTTACAACTGGTAAACAAACCATTGTATTGTTTAATATTAGATGTCTGAATTATAGTCAGTAGTCCAAGAAGGTTGTGTATACATAACAATATTATAATTATAACTATATGAATTATCATAGATATGAATAAAGAAATTATAAGTATTGTTATTTGTAATAGAATAACTGAATATATAGTCATGAAAAAATGAAAATAAATATAACCATATTTGATCTCAACACTACGTCCTTAACCTGGTTAACAACGTCACCTGTATATGTTGTTATGGTTTGATATTATTTATAGTTCCCTCACGCATGACCTAGATCATATATATATTTTACAACATATATTCTAATCTACAATACTTATGGGTAGCAGTGCATTTATCAATACATATATAGTATATAGTTAAATTTATAGACTAACAATACTAATCTACTAATTAGGAATTTCAATGTAAATACATATTATTATTATTGTTTTAATGGTAGCTAACAACAGCAATGGCGTAATATCTATGGAGGGTGAATTTGGGTTCTAACTAAAGGAGAGTCGCGGGGAAGCGATAAACAAAAACAAACAAAACACAAACAAATAAGGAAGAAACAGGTAAAACAACACTCTACCTATCCTAATCAGGAGCTATGGGTGTTTACCCAGCTATCACAACGTCATACAGCGCGCATCCTCACAAACGGTTACTTCACATGGGACACTCAATGATTTTAAAGCTGTTGTAATGATGATATTCGACGCGTAAAACACCAAAACAATCTCGCTGTCTGGAAGCGGTGCAGAAATAGTTCTTCATTAAAAAGCTGGTGTAGGAACTAGTTTTGCAGTTATTAAAGCGTAGTTTTTTTTGTTTTTATTCTTCGTTTCCTTCTTTTTCACTTTGACATTTGCTAAGAATATATTCCATTATTTGTAAGACAGTTCAACTGACCCTATTTTCTGTGTAAGGGTAAATGACCAGTTAAGTATATATGCCAAGCCATTATAGGTAATGTATAGTATTAATGAATATTGATTTCGCTCTGGATGATTGACAGGAAAGTGCACGTTACATTGTAACACTGGATAATTCTTATCACAAACACATTAAATTGTCTCTGCAAACAAAAACAGACATAAGTGTATGGGTAAGGTAGCATATATACTTATAGGTGCTACCCGAACACAAATCACAAGTTTAAAGTGGAATGTAGCGTAAAACTCCTAATTCCGTGTGATATAGTATCGTAGTGGAATACTGTATAAAATTAATACGCCAATGTAGTATATAACATTTCTACACCAAGCAGCGAGTTTTTGGACTATGTCAAAATTAACATGACTCGATTCAGAAGCATCGAAACCAGGCAATACCAACGTGCCAATAAAATACGGAGTAGTACCCATGTGAAGCGATTCTGTCGCGTATGTAAATCGACTGACGGTGAAAAAAAATTGTAACGAGAAAATGTCCATGTAAACAAAGACTGCTGAAAGTGCAAAAGCAAAGCAAGCACCTGTCAACACATATCATATGGACTTTGAACACAACACAAATCCTGATTGCCTAAGTTCGTGAGGTTGCGGGTAGTATACGTATTTTCACTCGACATTGTAAAATGTGGTTTAAATATATATAAAAGTTATGACGATTTGTGGAGAAAAATATCGAAAAACTACAGACGAAACACGCTGAATTTAAGATGAATGTTAACTTACCTTCTATTGGAGCGAATGTAATAGCAAGACATACATCGAGCATTATCTACATGGCCACTAGTTATAAACCACGCCAACATCACGAAACCACGCCCATAAGCACGCCTACCTAACACGACCACGCCCATGGCCACGCCCACATCAATACAAGTATGTCTTTCCATACTTGTTACAATGACCAGAAATGAATAAGTACAAACTTTGCCGAAATTTAAAAGAAGATATCTTTTTATATATATACATATATTTTAGAAATTAATCAATTTTTTATGATATTATCATTGGATGAAAAAAATTAAGAATATTAAAATGATATTAATATATAATTGTAAATGAGAAAAAACAAGCAATAAGGTTGATATTATTGGCAAATTAATAGACTTCAAATGAAATAAAAACAAATAAATAATAACAAATGTTTAACAAACTGAAAGAAAACATACCGAGATGAAGAGCTTCGTGATTACGTTAAGGGATAAAAAGTCGATCATGGAGTAAGCAATGGGATGTTTTCACTGAGAGAGTTAAAATATGCAATTAAAGCCATAAACTGGAAATACGAGTTCAAGCAAACACTGTATTTGAACTGATTTAGAAAACACAGACAGAAGCCAACACAATTTCCAAAATTGCAATATTATACAAAAACTCAGTACGTTTGCATCGGTTTAAGCAATGGCGCTAAAAGCTCATGGAACGATTATATACAAGTACAGATTATACTACATTAAGCTTAACGCTAGCACAACATACGTAATATAATCACGTGATCAATGTACGCATACTCATTAAGATTCATGACCTGATTCAGCCAATACGGAACATTGAAATAATTATCTGGACTTCAAATAGGACGTGTAGATCAATACCTAGAGTGAAAATTCTAGAACACAGCATCCGAAAGGGTGGTTTATTAATTTGATATAAGCCAAGGTCTGGTGGAACAATAGAGACACAATGATAGAATAAAGACTTTTGTAATAGATCAACGGGTTTTCTTTATATCTCCAATAAGGAAAATTCAATTACGGCTTCTAAAAATACCATTACTCTCAATATCTCTTCATAACAATAATAGTCACATCAAAATAATATTCCAATAATGGTTTACCCACTAATTATGTTCCTGAAAGCGGCAACCGAAATACGATATCCGCCTTATAATGATAATCCAAACGAAACCACAAATAGTACCTACAGTCCATATAGTGATTCTCCATAAATACACAAAATCTAAATTAATGAACAATGAAATGATCTGTTGCTATGTCAATTATGGAAAAGCCTGACCTTGCTCTGTAGCACTATAACCTACTAACAGCCAAACATATATTGAACAATTACAATTTCTACTTTATCGTAAGAATGGATTAGTTTTAAAGACATTCTGTCACCGTCTCATCTATCGTCACAAACTGTTATTTCAAGGAAACTTTACAAAAACAACTTGTCCTGACATCTTGTCTTATGACACAAATTATTGCAAATGATATGCTACGAACCTAACTCCGCTAGCCTACACAAAACTATTTCAAGGAAATACTATATAAACCTAATGCAACCTGCCCTATTGTACAACACAAACTGTTTTAAGGATATGCTATACAAACCTAACTCAACCCGCCCGATTGTCTTACATTACAAAATATTTCAAGGCAATGTTTTACAAACTTAACCCCACCAACCTATTGCCTAACGCCACAAAATGTTTCAAGGCAATGTTTTACAAACTTAACCCCACAAACCTATTGCCTTACATCACAAAATGTTTCAAGGAAATGCTATACAAATCTAACTCAACCTGCCCAATTGCCTTACGTCACAAACTGTTTCATGGAAATGCTTTACAAAACCAACCCCACAAGCCCTATTGCCTGTCCCACGTCAGTTGAAAAAACAACTATGCCCGTCGCCTTGTCTTGTGACAAAAGCCTTAACTGTGAGAGTCATGAAACCTATTCTGTCCGTGCTGATATCTTACGTCACAAATTTTAGTACAAGTATTACAAAACAAACCATATCCATCCTACATTCAGATAAATGAAAACTACCCTCATCTTGTTAAAGATCCGTAGCATCTACTTCCTTATACCATACACAAGTACTCAACCACTATGACAAGAACGAATAAGAGCAAACAAAATATGTAGCATTTTCAAGTGACAAAACCACAGTCCGCCATTACACGTAAAAGAAGAGTAAAAGAGTTATACTATTAAAATATCACATTTGACATACGATTTATTTAAATAATTGCTGTATTGGCTAGTGTTACATTCGATATTCAAGGCGAACGACCTAACACAACGCAAGGGTATCAGAGTTCAGGTCACTGTTTACAGAGAATATATCTTCGTTAACTTTTAACATATTTATCCTTAATCATACTGCTTACGGAGGGATTATCACGGCTATTAATCAACATACATTACTTTCCATTTCATATTTCCATTATGAAATTAGATATGAATAATGCAAAACTATATTTACCGGAGTCGGCTACTAAATCCAAAACAATAGTAGAGTTTGAAATTAATTTAGATAATTATTGAAAAATTCGGGATATAAAATTTAATTACTTAGTCAGTTATAAATCAGTCACCGGAGGTATAACCTAATATACTATGTATTTTATACGGTATACCAGTAATGGTATGGATGTAGAGGCAATTAAATGCCTGCGTCCATATCATATCCTATTGTATCTTATTGTATATTCAACGATGTTGATAGCCCGTCGTTAAATAATTAATGACACACAACAATAAAAGCGGTTTTTTATTGTTTCTCTTGTTAATATTTTGCCTTTTATTTCATAGAATTTGAGTTAGAATAAATGAAGATTTATTACTGACATGACGGTACTTCTTTATTGTATTTATATTCTTTCAAACATGAATATAAGTATTCAAAGTTCTTTTCCTTCCAAAGAATCGTGAAAGAAAACAATCGTTAAAGTTCATTATTGACAAGAACACAAATACCCATTAAAAAAACCCAACTAAAGATGGAAAGGAAAGTGAACCATATTATAATAAAATATTCTTTTATGGAATATCAGGACTTGACAAAATATTCAGCTGAAATTCTTTCACTTTACAAACGTTTTCTTACACCTACCTGATGTTCTTGAAAAGGAGCGATAAAATCAAAGTCGTTAAGATTCATTTTTAACCATTATCATAATAAACTAATTACACAACAAATGGTTTGTGTGCTCAAGTAATTGTCACGAATGCCTATCTCATCTAATAAACATTGAAACAGAAATGTTTTGAAAAAGATATCAGATTGGTGAAAACGGGGTGATGTGATGTAAAGATATGTCTCTTTAATGAATTCTAGATCACTGAAAATTTGTTATAGACACGAAAGCACATCATATAATAAAATGACGTGAAATAGCATTCTCTACATTTCAATAAATCACACATACAATACACTATATGACTTACAATCTACAATGTAGAGCTAGATTTCAGTAGGGTTCACTATACAAATAAACTATTCAACTGCCACTCCGTAAGACATTACTAAACACTTACTGGTATGATGTTTACTAGGTAATAACCTATTAAGCTAGTTCCTTATGTAATATTCTATGCTATTCTTGTTACTGAAGTTAAAAATTGCATTAAACTTAGCCTAGACAATAATTGTTCAATATCACTGATCAATCAATGACTAAGAGACCATAAAGAGATCGATATTTAGAGTCACTCATCCATATCGATTGTGTACTGAATGAAATGGAGGACCCAGCGAAGAATTTGACACCGATTTACACTTTATGATCATTTTATTATTATTATTTTCTATTAACAGATCCATTATAAACTGTAATTGTTAGAATCATCATTGAACCTTAACAAATGAGATATTATGAAAGGCATGAAATGAATATGTTGTATAAATACTTAAGTTGTTGGACCTACATTGTTGAGATCGACAACACTGGTATAGAAACGACATCTAGATTATATCCAGATATCTGCCGTTATAAAGAGTATCCCTATGTAAGCCAAATGGATGTTAGTAGCTAGGCCTAATTCACTTGCATTCACTTGCAAAACGTGACCATCAGTTGTAGAACTATAGTACGGAGGACTGTCCTTAAAAGAGCAGTAAAACGTCACATATTTGCTGCATTCCAGAATTCTGGAACACGGTAGTGACGAAGGGTGATGATAAGCTGACCAACACATCACGCCCTTGATGGATGACGAGGGATAGAAGAGAAGAAACTGCTCTCCTGTGTTGACTTCAGTACTTTGTTAGGTTAATGGGAATCTTAGGGTAAAACGTGTGTTAATCTTGAGCAGATGACGTCACTTTTGATATTTTGATTTCCAATCACGTGACGAAATCTAGAGATATTTATGCGAATATCATGAAGAGATACTGCCATTTCGGATATCTATGAAATCATGGAAAAGTGATGTAACTCACGAGGTCTATCTAAGTAAATTCCAGAAAGATGATGTCGTTCACAAGATCTACCTGAGTAAATCCCCGAAAAGTGATGTAACTCACGAGGTCTATCCGAGTAAATCCCCCAATAATGATGTCGTTCACTAAGATCTACCTGCGTAAATCCCTGAAAGATGACATCACGATATAGAAATCTTGGAGTACATTTGACCAATGACATCACTTGAGAAACATATGAAAGAAACGGCAAGTTTACAATTTATATAGGAATTAAATGATACGAAATATTTAGAATACCAGAGATGGAAATACGAGGAAAAGTAGAATTAATAACGAAAACGATATATATAGCGGCCTTAAAACAGACAGTAAGACATGCCAATTTGGTCTTTCAAGAGCACGTCGTCAGGTCATTATTGACCATTTGTGAAATTAGTCAATCCACAACTACCTTGTAAGCGGTACCTGTGACTGTCAGTATCTGCTATCATAACACTACAAACACCAGTCGTTTGATTAAGCCCTCGATCGCATCCCATTTTCAACAGCAATTCTAATCATTTGATCCCATCGTAACATTGAAATAATGGATTGTCAGCCATTATCAGTACATGGACAAGAAAAAGGTGCCAGGACTATCGTCAAACCGATGGTACAGTAGTCAGGACCGTTGTCATCGATCAAAGTCAGTTCCTGTTCAAATTAAATTACTCGCGAAGCAGTCAAACCCACAGGGCAATCGGAAGTCCCTCGGTGTGTTTGGTATATTTATAGGCCATGATCAACACAAGATAGCAAACATGACCGAACAACGGAATTGTACTTGATGCAAACACTAGCCAACATTTAGGGTTAGAGACGTAGTAATTACGCTGATGTATGCCTGTTCGTGCGAGTTGTTTGAACATTAGGAAAGTTACTAAACGCTTTCAAACTTAATTTTACATATTTCTGTGAATGACATTTTTGAAAAAAAAAGCGAAAAATATTAACATAAGAGCATTAAGTCATTATTACTAAGGCGTATAGTGAAGAGAATTACTTCCTGGTCAACCATGTACTATGCATTTAGGATAATATGCAAACGATTAAAGTCCTGGTCAACCATGTACTATGCATTTAGGATAATATGCAAACGATTAAAGTCCTGGTCAACCATGTACTATGTATTTAGGATAATATGCAAACGATTAAAGTATTATTTTGTGTTTTGCTCTCACTCCTGATATCGTGTATAAGACAAAAATGTCAATTTCAAATAATATTCTGACGTGAAATACTGAGGTGAAGCGTTTTCCTGGAAATTGTTATATAAAAGCAATATAATTTAACCTTCGTGTGCATGTTGGTCCGATATATATACTCATGGAAGGTAACACTACAAACTGGTACTAAAACTGCTTCATCTTTGATATATATAAATTTCCCCATGTATACGGTGATAAATCAATCAGCGGACAGCTGATATATCAAATAAAAATTCAAAAATAAAAATAAAAAAATATATAAAAAATAAAAAGAATCAAATAAACAAAATTGTATACGAGGATTCATTTATTTAACGGTTGTGGGAGAAAGATTTGATTTGATAGAATTGGTCTTTTCTACACCAAGTACTCGTTATTCTAACATCGTCTAGATTTTAGTACATTAAGTTAAATTGTCATATGATTGTTTTAATGCGCTTTTTCAATGCTACCAAAATAAAGCAAAATTTTATAACAAGCTTGCTTTTTCTTTATCATAATACGTCTTAGTATTTGAATGTTTTATTTAAAAAGTCCATTCAATATTAAACTGATTTTGTGACATTAACTGTCATAGTACATTTAGTAAACTATCGGTTGGTTGTTTTAGTCTGCTGATTATCAAAAGATACGATCAACTTCATTTTATAACAACACTATAAACAAATCCGTTATGCAAACAGTAGCAGAATTTCTAAATTCATAAAAAGCATATTTCATAATGTCAAATTAGTATCATTTATTATGATTTTTAGTTCAGAACAAATCTGTTGTTGATACTTAAATTACACAATTATCAAGTATAATGCATCGTTTGAAATCACATGGTTTCTAGTATAAAACACTGTTAATAAGCCATGACAACATAAGGGCTTTAGTAAACATCATCGCTAGGGACATGAAAGACGTACAATAACCAATAAAAAGGGGACACAACTGATAGGCGATCTGGACTTAATAGGCGGAATATGTCATTTATTGACTTGTTTGTACCTCCATGCCAATTTGTCCATCATCGACATATTCTATTACAATCCAAACTAACTGAAAACTTTAAACATTGACGTAAGTGGGCTTCTAACTACCGGAATAGAAATGATAATCAATTTATTGAGATTGATAAGAATATAATCTCCTTGTCTAAGGAATATTGATGCATATACATGTAATTATTCGCGAAACATATGTTAATGTATGTAACCTGCGATGACACATCATGCATATTCATATATTTACATATCTATATATACATAATAAAACTGGTAAGCCTGAAATACTATTTTTCACTGTGGAAACAAACGAAAACATATTCATATAAGATATCAACAAATTGTGATAGGCGTTGAAAAAGAAACATGAAAATCAATTTTCTTTTTCATTTTATTTCTTAAAAGAAGAAATGCTTATAAGAAGAAGTTTTTTTAACTTCGTATTATTGGGTTGGCTTCACAAAAACTTTAAAAATCATTTTTTTTTAAGAAAAGGAGGTGCACCCGTATTTTACTGGTTGTAAAGATGGTGTAGAGGAAAAGACTTAACAAAAGACCGGAATTTGAAATGCGCTTTTAAAATAGAACTTGGAGATTGACACCAGCTGATGTCCAATATTGAATGCGACAACACCATACATATTTGTTCTCTGCTCAGTCGCCTTCTAGGTTTCAACAATTTAGGTCTTTCCCGTCACTAATGAGCCTAAGAAAGACAAAACAGCTCTATATATACAGTTAATACATTCTAATTTTAACTGAAAGGTGCTAATTACCTTGTGTGTCTTTTGTACAATTCTTCTAGGAGAAGAAGTCGGCGATATTTGACGACGAGAAGGGAATCAAGAAAACAGATATACACACTCGAGACTACAGAAGGTAGCGAGTACTTACCAAAATAAGTTAAATCTAAGCCGAGTTTGTGTGCGTTTTGGTTTTGGTTTGTTTTTTGGATAAAAAGTTTGTAAAGATGCGAAAAGGTAAATACATTCTTAGCCAGTGCCAATATACTTCTTGTATAAAGTAGACAGCCTGCGAAATACCCTAGAATATCAGTAAAACATACAAATTTATCTCAGATAATTCATATTTAAACAAATATGTAAATATGAATTATGCATAAAACCCCTTCATACAGGTGTTTCGTCCTTTTAGGAATGTTTTCAGTGTGTTACAGCTTATAGACGTATGTAATATGGATATTATAAGCAAAAATCAGCACATTCAACCAGGGTTCTGTTTTCATACAAAGAGAATAAAAGAAAAAAACTTGTAACTTTGACTAGAAATGCTATAAACGGAACATTACAAGAAAATGAAGATGGATGTTATACCGTTTTCAAGAATAACCAACACCAGTGATGTCCCTGCTTAAACTTAAATTTCATTTTTGGTCAACATTTTCGTTTTTGTAAAATTTCACTATTACGCCTACATCAATACCATGGTCAAGGGACACTCAGATAGGTCGCAATAGCCGTTTAAATCAATATTCCAAAGAAATCACTTTGCACGATACAGAAAATCAGAATAAAACCATTTTAGAAAGTATTAAATTGATTTAAGAAGAGATTGTCTAGAAAGAATAGATTTGATACAGATTGTCAAAACAGCCCCAAGCCAGTAAGTAACGTAGATTATTTTTTGTTAAGAAAGTTGATATTACTCTATAACAGGGATATATATAGCTCACAATGATTCCCCAATCAATCGCACCGTCGGATATAAGAATCTTCATTCCCAAGGTAGATACAACTCAATACAACGAGAAACATATAGATTTGTTCTTGTCAAAAACCAATTACATTGTCAACATTTGGCTTCAATTCCCAGAATAAAAGAGTGAAATACAAGGAGTGTTTAGCTTCGGGTAAGGAGTATCGTCAGAACTATATACAGGTTGGCAGAAGTTTACATACACAATCCCCCAATAACATGTCGAAAGTAGTTTCAATACAAACGTTCAGCACACAAAGGGTTTATCCATAAATGAAGAAATATTGGACGAGGAAAAATGTTGAAACAATAGAAACACAAAAGATTTAAATACAAACACACGATAGACAAGCCTAATTGTATCTTTGGTGTAGCATCTTGCACATCTTTCTATATCTTACATACATTTTCACATTTTCCAGTGATTTTAGGGGAAAACAGCGTGAAACCAAACCAACAATTTTAAGTTTAGAACATGGGTCAAACAATTTCAAGAATTTCAAATATTTTTCGTTACAGAGAATTCAACGACACCTTGATACTAGAAGCTTAACGATAGGATATTTTAGGCAAGTGTTTTACATGTTTAATGACGTTTCAAAATTAGCCTAAATGGATATTATCTTAGTTCAGTCTTTCAAACTGTTAATACGTTATAGTTTGATCAAATTTTAGCAAATTATCTACAGAAAAGAATTTATGTAAATGACAGCTACTGACATCTTTGCGATGCCAGAAAGAGAGGATCTACCCCTAAACATTGTATACATGGGTGACAACAGTGGGCATTACCGGAGACGTAAGAAAAGCTACTTCCAAGGAAGACTAATATATGTTAAAACTGAATAGTAAAGCTCATTGTTGTTAAGACTGAAACGATAGAACATATATATTACCTTTGCTGAAGATGAAGAGTAAGGTTCGTCAAAGAGTGCCCAAATCTTTGGCTGGATCCGTTGCCAACAATTGAGTTCACCAGCTCGATATTCTTCTTCCCATCCGAACTTCTTCATTATATCTTCTTCTGTAGGCTTATCCGTATCGAGATCGAGTCTGTCCAATATCCCTAACACATCTTGTGTGTCTCTATGTGAAGTATATGTCATCCAGCAACATGGCTCCACCTGATTCGAATCCAGACCCCAGAATTCCAACTCTTCCTCAAACAGGGGACCACATACGTCGGTAGGGTAATGTAGCTTCCCAGACCGATAGTAGTTCAGAATTTGAGCAAACACCCCTGGATGTCTGTCAAAGAAATATTCGTTCAACACAGGGTCGTAATTTGCCAATGCCTCAGTCAATCTGGACAGACGTGTGGCCGGAATTTTCTTAAGTGTTGCCTTGTACGTTTCGTGCCGTATACCACCGACATTGAGAATAACGCGGTTGTCCGCATCAAGTGTGTTCATCGTCATTTTCAATTTTTTAAAGAATTAAAATCTCCAGTTAAATTTGCCAAAGTTTCTTTTTTTACATTAAACTCACTATACACATAAATATCCTTTAGTATCACCGAAAGGAATCATCAAGTTCATATTGGTTCTTTAACTGTATCACAGAACTATGCATTTATCTAGAACGTCCATGCGCTTTTAAGTATAGGGAAACCGGAAGTGATGATCGCACCCAGGAAGCCTTAATATCATACTGACACATTTGTGTTGCTATCACAGAGGTGTGTACTCATCCGCAAAAAAAAGCCACGGAACACTGGCTGCTTCTTTCTTTCGTTTTCCCATTGTGGTTGTGTAACTCCATACGTTTTTCTTAGTTAAAGCATGACCTGGAAAAAATCCAAACAAAATTTCATTAGAGTGAAATCAAGAAAATAATTTAAGATTAATGCATTTTAAATAAATTGTTTTATACCAAGAAAAATGAAATACTGCTTTCATCACTTTAACAAAAAAAAAAACAGTTTTCCGAGAAAATCCGTTGTAGACTTTGATTAAGATAACAGAAGATACACCCATAAAAAGGCACACCAATATAAGCAAAAAATCTCAACAACATATATATTCAAATAATATCAAAGTGTATCACTATGATTGGCAGTAATCACATCCGCAGTAGATATACATCCATACCAAATATCTAGGCTGCACATACGAGTGTAGTGCAGGTCCATCTAGTCACTACAGAAAGTTACCAGCAATTTACAACGACATACACTTATTATCTGTAGCAATTTACGTTTCCATTGAAGTGACAGCAGTGCCCTTGTATGCATGATGTGACCTTTCCATATAACAAGTGTATACCAAAAACATTAATATATATACATATCTAGTAATATCTACGTGCGTGTTTTAGTGTTGGCCGATGGAAATGAAAATATATATATAAAAAATATATCGATATATATATATATATACAAATATATTACTATGGCAATCTACCGTCCTTTTCATTTATCGTTCATTTCATCATGTATAGTGTAATCAATGCAATTACTTAAGTCTTCTTGTTCACTGCTCACACACATGACGCACCATATCAGTACGAGGTTTCGCTCTGACACGCACGTCGGGGGATCGCCACAGGACACCTGTAATCGCCGGCATTACAGATCCAGTTAACTCTAACGAGACAACCCAGAATTAAATCAATGTATTTAATTGTGCAATATTGGATTCAACACATTCTGATCGTGACTTTGGAGCTTTTTAGTTTGGCATTTCTTGCAAATATACGTACAACCTTTGTCAACAACTGTAGGAGACGGAAATCAATTGCAGGGTATCTAAATTGGATACCATAGATATAACATTGAATAAAAAAAAATCGGTGGAAACTGTTAACTTGTTTGAAACCTTACTCTCCAAGTCATTCCTAATTTGATATCTATCATAATAGCAAGTTCTTCATGCGTGCACACCCCCTTCCGAACCTCTCAAATATGAATATATACACAAATAGATTACGTAATTGAGTGAAATTTTGATATAGTGGTTCCTTGATAACAGACAGACAATCAAAGCCAAAATCATCGACTATGTTCAACGTCCGCCATATTCAACCGCTCGACCTTTATATAGGGTTAAATGTAAGCGATTCCAGTTCCCACGGCGATAGAAACAGGGAAACGTGGTGGCTACCGCGTATGTTGAGTTACAGATTTGTTTTAAAAAAACAAATCTATTCATGTGCTTATTAAACGCCAAACTTTCGGCGTTCAATGGTTTCTTCTCACGAGATATCTAAAGCCATTGGACAAACTGACAACACATAATTTCGAGAGGTACAGGTTGTTGAAGAACAAAACAGACTCCTATAATCACAACGCGATTTGGAAATTTTCTGTTTCCTTGATCGATGAAAAAAACAGTCTGTTTGATATAAGTTTAACTGGTGTCTTTGTTGTCACTGCCTTCAGAAACCACAACATGGCGGCTTGCCTTCAGAAAACGCAACATCGCTAATATCGGACCTTGAATGTGACCTCATCAATATCTATTCTAGAATCACGATATCACTAATGATTGACCTCAAACGCGATATCACTAATATCTGACCTAAAACGCGACATCGTTTATATCTTACCAAGAATGCGACACTTCTCATTTTTGGTCTAAAACGCGACATAACTAATATCTGACCTAAAACGCGACATAACTAATATCTGACCTAAAACGCGACATAACTAATATCTGACCTATAACGCGATATCACTAATATCTTACCTTCAACACGACATAACTAATATTTGACTTATAACGCGACATAACTAATATCTGACCTATAACGCGACATAACTAATATATTACCTAAAGCGCGACATAGCTAATATCTGAACAAAAACGCGACATCACTAATATTTTACCTATAACGCGACATAACTAATATTTGAACTATAGACCTATAATCCAACATAAAGTACATCTGTCTAATAACACGACATTACTAGATCTGACCACAAACTTACGCTACGAAAGTTTCAACTGTAACTCTCAACGCGGACGCCCGTGTCATGACACCCTCTTTGAGATGTACTTGCAATGTGACTGACCTACTTCACTAAAACTCCCACTATGAACCGGTTTACTCCATCCCCAGTGTGTATTATATTGCGAAGACTCATACTGAATAATACTTCAACAAGCCTTACTTTAGAGAAACGCTTTGTTCTGACTTTTACTACCAGCTGGTGCATCAAATTCCGAAGTGCAACCTGTTTAGCTCTGCTTCACCGCGCAATAATTTGCGTTTACTCACACTGAGAACTAAACCACAAACTCTGCTGCGAACTATTTTGTTGTGAGTTACCTGAGAAATACTTTGTTGTGAGTTTATCTGAGAAATACTTTGTTGTGAGTTACCTGAGAAATACTTTGTTGTGAGTTTACCTGAGAAATACTTTGTTGTGAGTTACCTGAGAAATACTTTGTTGTGAGTTTATCTGAGAAATACTTTGTTGTGAGTTTACCTGAGAAATATTTTGTTGTGAGTTTACCTAAGAAATACTTTGTTGGGAGTTTACTTGAGAAATACTTTACTGTGAGTTTACCTGAGAAATAATTTGTTGTGAGTTTACATGAAAACTTCTTTGTCAAGACTTAACCTGTCAGCTTCTATGTTGTGTGTGAACTTTTTTGTGAGTGAACATGCAAATGAACCTTTTTTTACTTAATTTCTTTCTCGAACTGTTCTCAAACACAGCAGTGCATTACTAGAACTACTGCACAATCGTCAAACTAATTTCTTCAATGACTTGGGTATGTAAATAGGTATTGATTTACACATATTTTATTTTATTGCAACAATTCCAATGGAATTGGGCACAAGTTTTCCAACCCCCTTTCTCCATAAAGTTTGACAAAATACATAATGACAAGACTGAACGACATTATGTTTAAAGAATAAATTAAACGCGCAGAGAGAGAGAGAGAGAGAGAGAGAGAGAGAGAGAGAGAGAGAGAGAGAGAGAGAGAGAGAGAGAGAGAGAGAGAGAGAGAGAGAGAGAGAGAGAGAGAGAGAGAGAGAGAGAGAGAGAGAGAGAGGGAGGGGGGAAGTTCATATATAAATTTTATGTAATTTCGTGTAAGTCAGTCTCTCTCCCAACCGGACAACACTAGTATAAGTGTGTATAAATTAGTATTCCGATACCTTAGATATTAACATGAATTGGCTTTCAACATTTTTTCCTTATATACTACAATAATATTTCAATATATAATCAACTGATGTTTTTCCCCCAAGGAACGCTTCCCTCGTGACACAAGGAATTACAGAAGACCACCCGATATGATTCCACATTCAAAATTACTTCGTGCCGTGAGAAAGGAGATACGAATCGACGAAGAAAACAGATGTGAGAATTTATCAATTCTCTTCCACATGAATTAATATTGATATTCGTTCTCAAATTAATGTTCTGCCTTATAGCAAACGAGATCGGTATTGTTCAACATGCGGTCTTAATTCAAATCTAATATTATTTTATTACTAAAGGAGAATTCACGGAAAAAACTAAACGATTTTCGTTTCCATGATTAGACATGATATAAGCAAGGTCAGGATAATGCTTTGAACTAACCATATTTTTATACTACCAGGTCGGTTTAATTCAATCAGCCGTTCGACGCGGAAGGAGCTGGCAAGTCGATCTGATATAAGAACAGTTTCGTACGAATCACCGGCATCCTCAAGCGTATTCTGTTCCTTCTAACAAGATTTGTGAGGTCTCCTGGATCTGATGTTGCCTTGTAAATCTCACAGTTTTTTACCCCTCATTCTAATTCATCTCAACAGCTAGTTCTTCGTCGACTTTCTTATGACGTCATGAAAAGGCCACCGGAGTATACACACTTCAACAAACTAACAGACGACATTTGAAGTAATCACGGTAGCTTGAACGCTTGTTTTGCACGCAGTATGTGCTATTCTCCGTGAACGTCTGAGAGGGGAAGGTCTTTAAGCCGTAGCTTCGATTAAAATTTTAAGTAAGAACAGAAGGTCTTTAGTTTGTCTGTCTGGTTGAACCTTCGCACGGACAAATTGATATTGCAATGACTAAGAGATCTGACGCAAGAAGAGTTTATTTCAATTTTGCAGACGGTTAAGTTTTTACGACCCACATGTTGTTATGTTTAAATTTCACATAAGCACGTGTTCACTTTGTGTTAAATGCCAGTTTTGTCTGTGAGGTCATCTGTTTCTATACATTGATGAATGTTAACGTTTCGCATACCCTTCAGAAGTCTTTTTCACCACAAGTTAAGAGTGAAGAGTGTAAACAGACGTTATAAATGTTTCCATTCTCACATCAACGAGTTACACGGTCGAAACATACTTTTGAATACTAAAATATCGCATTATTGATCATTAAAAAGTGAAAAGAATATGTAACTGCAGTAACGAATTGCATTTTTTGACCCTTAAAGTTACAACCAGCTACTAACTACCAATTCTGTTT